TGGGGGCCGGCAACTCAGCAGGCTCTGCTGGAGCAGCAAGAGGTGCGTATCTGTTGCTCAGTTCTGGTCGGGTAGGGGCCTTGGTGCGGTGGGCCTTAGGGCCCTTGCCCACCGTGGTCCATGCCCCTGGCTGGACACAGCAGGAGGTCCCAAAGTCCTCCTTTGGCGTGGAGGGGGACTGTGGTCTACCCTCTGCCTCCCGGGGGAGAAGGGCCTGGCAGTAGGAGTCTATCTCCTGCTTGCAGTCCCTGATGGCACGCAGTCTCTGGACTGTGGCCTGGAGCTCCTCCAGCTGGCGCGCCAGAGACCCCAAAAGGGAGCAGACCCCACAAGGGGAGGTCACCATGCTCCCAGGCCCCAGAGCCTGGAAAAGGGACAGGCAGCCCCCGCAGCCTGGAGTCTGCTGGAGCACAGTAACTACCAGGCTCCAGTAGACTTGATCAATCAAGTCTGCTCTGATGCTCCATAATTACAGCGCGTCAGAGCAACCTCGCTGCTTGTGTATAGGCACCCTATGTTTCTGGTTTGATATCACCACCAGTACTGGGGGCGCAGGCAGGGTCCCGGGCCCTCCCGCGCTAACTCACGTGCCAGCAGAGAAGCGTGCCTGTTTGCGCAGCCTGTTCGCACAGCTCCGGTCACGTGGCTCCCTGGGGGGCTGGGCGAAGTAGGGGCCTGGGCGGGGCTTGACCCGGCCCTGCTCCTCTTAGCCGCCTCCTCCCACACACACACTAAGGGGTTAGCCCCCTCTCGCCACAGGCCCTGCTTACCTCTGGCTGTGCTGGGGGTTGGCGGGGGGCTCCGCAGCTGCTGGAGGGTCTCTGGGGGGCTTCGGGGGAGTAGGGACGCAGCGGGCTTTCACCTGCGCGTCTCTCGCTGCTCCTGCGTCTACCTGGGGCTTTTTCCCTGTCGGCAGGCCCTTTTAAACTGCGCGCATGAATTGCAAGCCAAAGAACTAAAATACCATCTATAAAAAAGGGTTTCTGGAGTACATCTACACAGGCCAAGCTGGGCATTTAAATACCACTAATGGGTACACAGTATAAGCAGCTATCAACAGAAAATTGAAAATAGCTGTAATTATCTTTCAAGTTCCAAGAATAGATGATTGCAAACACCAAAAAAAATTGACAAAAAATTTAAAATTAAAAAATATGATCAGTAAATGAAGCAATTAACATTTCAAGATATTTTATGTTTATACGTTCAGGTAATGACCTGGCTAGAAAAGATCTCTGTGATTCTTAAATTTTTGTTTAATAATTTCACATTCATACCGTACTTGACTAAACTTTAATAGGACTGTAAAAATTATCTTTACCTGCTTTCATAGAATCTCCACCTGCTGGGGTTCCATTTTGTTGCTGACCCAAAAGCGATTTCAAAATAACTTGTGTTGCCCCCAGTCTTGGCAGGGTGACATGCTGAAGAAATGGCAAATTGTTTTTCTTAGCAAATGCCTGGCTTGTTTCCCTCCTTTTCCTAAGGAAGCCACCTTCTGGAAACAGTACAATCCATTTCCGACTACGGCTTCTATAATATTTTTCTAGATGTTCTTCAAGGAGCACAAGCTGCTGGTCACGGTGAGCTTTTCCCTAGAAGATTGGGGTGGGAGAAGAAAGACTACTTAAAATATAAAATGATTAAGATATTATGGTAAGTTTAAGCTTTTTAAAGAATTTTTTAGAAAGATACTATTTTTCCCAAAAGCAGCGGCAATTTAATGTCACTTTCATAGAGGAGTAAGAGTTTTCAGAATCAAGGAGATGTAAAGCTCCACTGGTTCAAACTTTTATTTTTTTTTCCCCTGAAGTGCATTCTTTGATGTCAGTGAACAGTAGGAAGTATTTATCACCTGTTAATAGTACTCCAATTCAATTTGCTCAGTAAAAAGATCCATTTTGAATTAATAAAAAGATTTGCCAAGAAAAAAAAAAGTAACTCATGAAAAAAGCTTCATCACAAAAAAAAAAAGATACATATAAAATCTAAAATAAGGACAGTTTATGAGAAGATTCCATTACAGGCCACAGATATGAAAACACGCAGGTCAGCAACCATAAAATGTTCATATATCTGTTTTTCCATTAATCCTATTAAAACAAAGTATTGTACAGAAGCATCCTTGGAGGTTTTTAAGGCCTGGCTCAACAAAGCCCTGCCTGGAATGATCTAGTAGGAGATGGTCCTGCTTTGAGCAGGGGGTTGGACTAGATGACCTCCTGAGATCCCTTCCAACTCTAATTTTCTATTATTTCTATAATTCAAAGGCCCACAGCTGACAAAATGGATCCTTTTTTTGTGATTCTGAAATTAAGTTTTGCTACCAGTTCTGTTTAGGGGGGTGAAAAAGCCTGATTTGTTTAAGGCTCTCAAATTCCTGGTTAAACTTTGCAATGATTTAGTCATTCACTTTGTTCCAAAAAGGATTAATCATTAAAGGGTAGTATAGTATCTATGCTGGCTCCATGCCACTTGCAGCTCCTGCAAAAAAATTAAGTGAGCTCTCCCCACTCCTGCTCCTCATTCCACACTTGGAACTGAGGTTGTAAAGGACATGCTGGAGACGCTCTCACTGGGTGTGTCTATGCGTGACATTAATTTCACTGAATAAACTCCAGCACACTTCATGCCAGAGTTTATTATTCCCGGGTGCAGCGTTTACAAATGTGCCCAGGACCACAGCATGTTGAGCTGGGTCAGAGCAGCCCCAGCTGGCAGGAGGCCTGGAGGAGTGATGGGGGGAAAAGTTGCCTGAAGTAAGTCTGCCACAGGTGTCAGCCTGCCAGCCTGGGGCTGCTCTGACCTGGCTCAACACGCTGCGGAGGGATCGGCTGGGGCAGGGAGGTGCTATAGTGGAGGGATAGCCAGCAGGCAGCCCCTGCACTGAAGCACCTTCATGCCCCAGCCAGTCCTGTAGGATGGTACTTGTGTTGGCAAGTACTAACCTACAGAAGCATTTATTAGTTTGGGCCGCATGTGTAGATGCTGAGGCTTTACTGCACAGCTAAATCCTAAAATTAGTCTACTCTACAGTAATCATCTCATGTAAATGCAACCACAGCCTCTCTCAGCCAAAGATCTCCCAAATGGGGGAGGGTGGGGAGGGAGGAGGGAGAAGAGTCGTGGTAAGGATTGACCCTACAGCACCTCTGTTTTGGATTGGGAGAGGCTGTTGTTAGCACAAGTCTTGAAACAGCATAGAGCCACTGAAGACATCCCCTAGAAGTAAGCTGAAGAGTTGGCACCAAAAAAACAGCTAGCTTAGGGACATATGCACTTATTAAACCTGAAATGCCAGATAGAAAGTAATTGTGCTTCTATCCTTTACCAATTCTCTTTGATGACCTAATAGAGCCTCAAGAAAAGACTGTCTTTACAAAAGTTCTTTCTTCATTTATTAAACAACTTTTAAAAACAAGTCCTGATTTTAATGCCAGCAGTGGTAAAGTAACAGATTGAGATGTAGGTCTTAAACCACCACTTGGAAAGAGCCCTGCTGGAGCCACTCCAGCCTCTTAGACCAGGAGTCAGCAACCTATGAACCAACCTACCACTTGGCCTATGGACCCAATCCAGCCTAGAGAACCACTGGATCTGGCCTGCAGATGTGTGGCTTCAGTGGCACACCTGTGGCTGCAGCAGCATTTGGTGGGGGAATAGGGGGAGGATTTTGACAGCATCATTCTCCCTATGTTACTGCAAACATAAGCAATGACAGTCAGGTCCTAGCATGAGTATCCAACCGACTCTGACGCAAAGTAGGTCATTTTGGCCTGGGGCCAGAAAAACTTGCCTATAACTGCCTTAGAGGGAGCAAGTGCAGGCTTGAGATGTGGGTCTTCAACTACAAATCTCCCAACTTTCAAATGAGACGGGAGGGTAGGACAAGCTTTCGGAGTGATTCTCAGGTGGTTTGAAGTGACATAGTTTAAGTGGAGTCAACTGCAGTAACCATTTAAAAATTGCCAACTCCAAGTTTTACCAGAACCCAACAATATAAACATCTCCTGTCACTTACATGGCTGTTCACATGGTATTTACTATATATGCACATTCCCACATTTACACAATCATATTTAAATACCAATTGCAAATGCAATCATGTACAATATACTCAATAACAAAATGAATGAGTTATGCAAGGTGTGGGTGGGATAATTTATGGAAAAAAATAGTTTCTGCAATTAAGACTCAGTATGCCCTCAAATAAAATCTCATTTTCTCCCTCCTACAAACCAAAAAAAATGCACCCTATACTGGGTAGGCATGACTGTATGCCAACAGATTTTTGAGGGTGGGGGAACGGAGCAGAGGGAAGATGCTCGAGGTAAGTCTGGGCTGACACTTGGAGGATGTGGGCCCCAAAACTGAGCTATTACCAAGTGGAACTTTTTCTAGTACTTTTTTTAGCCTGCGAGACAAGTCTTACATGATTTTACCCAGGTTAATATATTTGTACAGTAAATTATCCTAACAGAACCCCAGTCGGGTTAATGGCTATCAGCACTATTGTAATATACATGTTAAATAAAAAGTTACCGAGGTAATTATTTTTAATATTTTATCTTCTATAAAAACCCTGTTCCCCAGCAAAAATATTTCCAGCACAGGGATTTCACTTAGTAATTCTCACTAATAGGAGAGGCATAATGAAATTTCCGGACACAACATTGAAATTTTGCAACCAAATGGCTTGAGGGAAAAACTGAGCCCCGATACAATGACAGTACTGCTATATATTTACTGTTTACCTGTCTTATAAAGAAGTCTCCATGGATTAGAGATACAATGCCAAAGTTTGTATACTTAAATATATGATCCATTAGCCACATCATCTGACGGACAACCTGGAAAAGTTTTTAAAAAGGATTAATTAGGATATTTATGCAGAGAACTGGAAACACACAGATAACCAGCCAGGTTACGTTCTCAAAAGCAACAACAGAAGAGCTAATATACAGAATACAGCAGCTACTCATGTGTTATAACTTCACACAGGCACCTTACCTGCCTCTTACTAATTTGTCCCCACTGAGTTTTCACTGTGTTTCTCAGAAAGATGAATCTATTACTTGACTCTGTATTTGATCTTAGCAGGCTTCACATGGTAGAAAACTGTCTTGGTCTTCAAATAAGGAATTGTTATTTATCTCATAGTAACTATGTTTTCTGAGCTATCACATGCATAGGCAATAGCAGAGTTTTTGAACAACAACATCTACTGAGACCTGTGTTAGGTCTGCCCTCTTGCCTTCCCCCACAGGCCAGAAAGGCAGGGCAGCACAGCTATCATTCAGTTCCTTCACTAGCTCAGAATCCAAGACAGTAAAGTAAGGGATGAAGGCAAGGTCCTTGTATCCATAATGATATTCTGAAAAACCAGTCAGTCATTCTGGTACACAGTCTTTCCCAGGAACAAAAAGAACCAGTACAAACAGACAAGAGGCTTGAGCCCATAGCACAAGCAATGCATTTTATAATGACCCCAAGCTCGTGCTTTCCTAGAACCAGACAACTTGTATTGTCTTAGGTGGCAAGCAAGTCTATAATAGAATTTCCCCACAACTGTAAAATTGCTATGATGGTAGAGCAACCAATATTTGCTGCTCAAGAAGTGTGCCAGGGAGACACCGATTCCTAGAAGAAAACCTCTTGAGCATATATCCCACGGTGTTGACATCATATCCATAACCTGATCGTCTTCTGACATGAGGTGAAGAGTAGGCTAGCATCTCCTTGTTTGTTTGGATATTACAATTGCGGATGTGTTATCTGAGAAAGCCTGCATGGTGGAGTTCTGTGAAGCAGGCTGGAACACCAGAAGCAAGTTAATCTGACCGCCTGCAGTTCTGGAACATGCAAGTACCAAGTGTCTTGTAACCAAGTCTTCTGTAGGTAGTCGAGGCATGCACCCCAATCAGACCAGGACTACACAAGCATCAGGTACAAAGTTAAAAGGAGGAGTGGGAAGGGGCACTCTTCCCCATATGTTCTTGTATAGCCCTGTACTGAAAAAAAACAGGTACCAGGACTGCAGATGGCGACAGAATTGGTGTCTTGACTGAAGCTAGAATGCCCTAATTTATTGGGTGAGCTATCCAACCAGAAGCTAAACACCACAGTATATAAAGCTAATGGATTTTCTCTTTTATTGTTGGAGTTACTACTTTGAAAGTTGCAGCAGTAAGGGAGAACAGCGTCTGTAATGCTAAGTTACCTGGGGTTGGTAGAAGAGCTAGAGACCTCATCAGGAAGGAACAAAGATCTCCAGCAGATGCATGTTGCTCAGGGAGTCATAGTGCCTATCCCTCCGACTGCTGATATTCTTCATCTGAAGATCGGGACTGGCAACACATGCTGAAGGGGATTAAGACCCTCTATTTTTCCTTAAAGGATAAGGGGAGAGGAGAACCTCCATCCAAGAGCCAAATAGGGGACCAGCACAACCAGGGTAGCGCATTATACTGGCACAGCTAGTTCAGAGGAGTTTTCTGCAGGCTGCTGCCATGACACCCAAGGTGGACGAGTTGGGATCTTAGTTGGGAATCAAAGTCCTGGCCTCCAGAGAGAGGCCCTTGCCTGACCTGTTAAGTCTGAGAAGAGATGGTTCCCTGCCAGACAGTGGAGAAGAGATGGTTCCCTGCCAGACAGTGGAGAAGAGATGCATCCTGGGAATTGAGAAGATTAATTTAGAGGGGCTATGCTGGTCTTTGAGAAAACCTCAGTACTGAGAAGTCAGATATAAGCACAGGTGCCAAAGGTAAGAGTTTGTGTGAAAACACCCATCCTATGGATAGTTACATTTCCTCCAACATTAAGTGACATTGTTACGGCTTTCATTTATTTTGTCCGTGTCAGCACCACAGCCGTCACTGTTGCTGATGCTAACACTTGCCGGTCTGTACACTCAGGCATGGGTACCAAATGTGGCTCAGAAACCAAGTAAGCATCACCTGCTCTTTATGGTTAAACAAGTTTATGACTGTTTCCTTTTTCATGAACAGACTGAAAAACTGCAGAATAGACAAGGAAGCTAGACGCTGCTCTGAATCCATCATTTTGCCCAAGAAGGGAAGTAAATAAGCGTTGGGTTGTATTAGTTTGTTTCTGGACACAGCTGACAAAATAAAAGATGAAATTCAAAGGGAATTTGAGAGTTAGAAGTTAACTTACAACTGAACAATGCTGATAAGAGTAGGTAAGGCAATGTTAACTCCACCTTACTGCCACAAGCAGGAAAGTGAACTGTAGGACATTTGTGGCTGATGTAGCCTGTATGCCTATGGGTGAAAGAAGGCTGCTGATCCTGGAAGCATTAGGCATGTGTCACCTAGCATGGGATCCACATGGATATACAGCTGTTTCATATTCTGTTTCAGGTGGACTATGTTTTGCCTCCACAGCTCCCCAAAAAAGACAGAGGACAAAGAAATAATAGGAATAAGTTTCCTATGACAACTGACAAGACAAGGTGCCTATTATTCCACAGTGCAGTCAGACAGTCATCTGACAGGGCAGTTCTCATAATAAAGTCATACAGGCCACAAAGATGGACTTGGATCTTAAAGCATTTGTTGTAATTGTTGAGTGAAACTGGGAAATTAAGTCTTGAAACTTGCAATGCATAGTACAAAGAAATCTTCCTTCCAATATCCACTTCCCCTCTCTCTCTCTCTCTCTCTCTTTCAAAGGGCAATTTCTAAGACTTTTCATTTACATTTTGTTATGCATTCTACTGTAATCTATGGCACTGCCAGTAACATCCTTGCATTTTAACTTAATACTCTTGGTTGAACTGATCATATGCTTGTGTTAGTAAATCCTCAACAAGCTTATTGCAAATGTTTTTAACACTTTGTAGCTGACTCAAGTGTAACTTCTTGGACTGTATAACGAGGTCACCAAGTACCAAGCAGCAGAAATCCTGCTCTCAAGTTTATCTGGAAGGAGAAAGTATTGGATTCATGGTACTGGGCAGGCACTTACACTGTACAAATGAAAACTGCAGTCCTCATGGATGCGTTTGTTTCCACAAAGTTTCTCTAATTAATGCAAGAAAACCTGGAAGCACAAGGGAGTCTTAAGAGTGTGGTACAGTTCACTGGCATTTGCATTTAAGTTTGAGAAGGCTAAAAGTGATCCTTTTTGTCCATTTTATTTGTTTATAAGCATTCCAGTACTGTCACCATACTGAAGAACAAAATTCTTTGACAAATTTTAAGCAGGTTGTAACATTCTTCTTTACTATGCCAGAAGTAGACCAGAACCAGACTATCAGTCTCAACTCGGGACACTTGGGGAATTGTTTAACTAAAAAAAGCTTGTGGTAAACACATCACTTAAGAGCTTCTTCTTAGGCAGTGGATAAAACAACAGATTGCTATTCAGAAGACTTGAATTCCATCCCTGACTTTATCACTACCTGCTGGATAACCTTAGGCAAGCCACTTTACTTCTCTATGCCCCAGTTTCTCCATCTCTTAAATGGGATGCTTAACACTTTAAGAAAATGCTTTCAGGTCCACCGATTAAAATTCAACTTAATAGTATGCTAAAAATCTTAGGATGCTAGCAATTCACATGAACTATGACAAGCAATGCAAAGTTCTCAAAGCCCTGAGAAAAAGACCACTTAATCTGAATCTTAAAAACCTCAGCTCATCTTGGTAGTTTTTTGGTAAGCAACAATTTATTCTGACCATATCAATTTGTAGCTCCAGGCATCTTTCCCAAATAAATGACAAGGTTATTCTATAGTCTCACAGCAGTCACTTATGCATGTTAAAAATATTCATTATATTGCTCCAACTGCAAGCCAACCCTGCATTTAAAGTACCTACCACATTTCAGAAAAACAGAACACAAAAATCCAGCTTTTTCTCCCAAATAAGCACAGATAAAGACCCTGAACTGCTCCCATTACTCCCATCCTTACCACATCCCACAGGCAAATCATAAAACCAAATAAAGGACCAAATATTTAAAAATATTAAATCTATTAATATACAGAAACTGCATTGAAAAAAAAAAAGAACTTTAGTTGGCATTTTATTGCATGCACAAAGATACCGCAAGTATGAAAGTCAAGACAGCTGGAAGACCACTTAACTCTGAATATTAGCCAAGTGTGACTTTTACAGTTATCTTGGAGGTAAAAAAAAGTAGGATTTATTATTAGAATAGGGTCATTCAGAAGATGTCACTGAATTAACCTAATCTTGCTTGCAATTATTTTTAGCTGCTTGTATTATTCATGAAACATTTCACAACACATTATAATAATATATTAATTTTATAAAGTAAATTAAACAAAAGCCAAAGCCCACCTTTGGGCACAACCTGCATATTTTAAGGAGTGAAGCTTAACTATTTAAATATCTTTATAGGAATCTTTTAAAGTTTCTTCACACAAAAACCTCACAGACTTAAGAAAGCCTTCAGTGTTACAGTTACACTGAAAGAAAAAAAAAAAGTCTCATACATCCATGTCTTCCAAAAGAAGTCCTGTCTCCATTCTTTTGCACCCTGCACATTCATTATACCTCTGTGAAAAGATATGAAATATTCCATCAAAATGTTTCTAAGGATCTTGATAGAGTTTTGCAGCCTGGGGCTATGCAATCCCTTAAAACTGCCATTTGATTTGTATCTTTGTCTATGGAGCAATAGGACTTGGATATATGTGGCTTTAGTTTTCATTATATGTCACATCTAGAGTACATAAGAGCAATTCCCTTGCATCTGCCTGCAATTTAAAGCCTCAGCCTGATTTTTAAGCCATTTGAGACCTCAGATACAGTGTGTAAACATCCTTTTGCTATAAAGGATAAACATTTATACTTCTACAGCACATTGGTGCAAAATTGTCCCAAATGACTGCTCTAAATGCATTTTGGGTGAAGACACAGGACATAAAAAGGTGCTTCTGTCTGTCTGAAGAGAGGCAATAGAATTTAGCTTATACACTGCTATTTATTAATACAATTATGGCAGTCCAAATTGTTCCTTAGTTTTCAGAGTAACTGACATGACAAAATGTACTTTTAGGAATTTTTTTTTTGTCTCTGGTTTCTCAGTTGTTCTCCAGGCTGTGACAGATGCAAAGTTTGTTTGGTTAATCCTGAGGAGGAAAAAGAATGCTTATGATATAACCATAGCTTTGAAAATGCTGGGCAATGTTGTTATTGTCAGAGAAAGACAATGTTCCCCGAAGAGTTCTTCCATTAAGCCACTGATAAAATTACACACAGAGTTTAACAAGTTAAAATGCCTGCATATTTCCCTAAATCATTTAAAAGCCTGTTGAAAATGGTTTAGTGCCAAGAATTCCTGTGAAGCTGCAAGCTGTGCAGACACTTTGAGGAAGAATGCAAGACATTTCTTTTGCTTTCTAATTTCTTTCACTGACAGGGAAATTTCAGTGTTGAGGGAAAAGGAAGCTATAAAATGGATTCAGAGTTAGCAAGGAGTCTTTCTAGAATTTCTACTCTTCTCTGCTTTGATCATTAACATCAGACCCAAAATCGACTATATAAATTAATTATAGCCTACAAGATATGTGAAAACATCACTTCTCCTCAACAAACTCATGATAAACTGAAGTTGAAACTGAACATATAATTTTCAAGTTTTGGCAACCTAAATACAGTGTATGGAAAATACAAAACAGATCACCTCAATTTTAGACACTCGTTTCTCTGAAATAAATATTTGCCTCAGACCTTTTGTGACAGGACGGGGGTGGGGTAGGAAAATCTATCCTGGAGTAAGTGATACCTGAAAGTGTTTTTCTTCACTGGTTGAAGTTGGAACAAGTTATGCATGAGAAATGAAAAAAAATATTATAAAGTTATGCATATTCAAGAGACTATTAGCTTCAACCTTGTGTTTTAGGAGATTTTTTTCTTCTCCAGAATTCACCCACAAAGATTTAGTATTATGTTTTTTCTTTTAAGTCCATATTTATGATCTCATAATTTTGCTCTAAACCACCTGCTGTCACATAAAACAAACAAAAAACCAACATGACTCCCATCTTTATTTAAGGTTTTCTTATTTTAGAGGGAAGCAACATCCATCATTGCTCACTGAAGGCAAAAAGGGAAGAGCTATACATGAGTCTTCCTTAATATAACCATATACACAGAAAATATCCTGTTTCCCCAGTGATAGCCTACCATGCCTTTATCCTGAAGGCACATCATTAGAGTGCAAACATCTCCCGTTGCTTGATGGTTCACCAGCACCACAGCTTCATCTTCTGAAATTGCTTTAACATCATCTCCCCATTCAACTACTATAAAGAGAAAAAGAGCAAGCTTTAAATATGATGACAATGTTTTTAATACTATTAATATTCTTACAAACAGAAATCTACATGCTACATATCAATTTAAGTTGGCACATAACACAGGAAGCAAAATAGATCAGCATGCCATTTCTTCAAGCAAAAACAGGAACCCAGCCCAGTTTTCAACAGCATGCACTGAGCACCCAAATAAGATATTCTACCAGAACACAGGACAAAAGTAAATAAATATTTGTGTTTAAATCATGCTATGTTCAGGCCATTGAAAACCACTATAAACTTTTGATACAGCTTTCAAACTCAGCCATCTCTCTTCAGATGCAGAGGTCAAGCAAAAGTGGTGAAGTCTGCCAAATTTTAATCTGAAATGTTTTTCACAATTATTCTCAAAATGTTCTGGTAAAAAAATAATCTTAGTTCCCCATGTTTAGGATGTTACATTAGACAAGGTTTACTGTAAGTTCTTCAAACTTGCAGAATTAGTTGTAAAGGAAGAAATGGTCTGAGAAAATTAGTTGCTAAAAACAACAACTATTATTTACTATTTAGTAAGTGGAGACTAGAAAAATCAAGAAGTAAGAATGGTATTAAGATGATGATCAGCACTTTTGGTTTCCAAAATTTACAAGAATAAGCAGAAGCAACCAAGGAGGTCAGAAGATGGGTGTCATCATTCCTGACTGATTGTCACAATGGAAATAAAAGAGATCACGTCCAACAGAAGGACAGAGATTAGGAAACTGGTCATAACCTAGCCAAAAAATTACCAAAGCCGCTTAACACACACCCAGTCTTGTCACCATGGGAACAGAAGACTGGGAGAGAGTAAAGCCTGGTGTTCCTCCACCAAAATGTAGGTCACTTTGATACAAGGAAAGGCAAGGTAGGAAAGGTGTTCTGTGAAGTTCAAGAACTCTGGATGCATTGCTCTGGAATTTAGGATAAGATTATTTTTCTGTAACTTGATCTATTACCTCATTAAATCCAGACTTGGCTGACTAATATGCACATTTCTGATACCACCGCAGAAGAGACAGATACCAGATTTCCCCCTTACTATAGAACACTACAGAAAGCAACGCCATCTCTAGCAGGCAATTCTTGACAACCATCAACAACTGCATCTCTCGATTTATAATGCAGCTTTCCCCACCCTCTCCCCAAAAACACATCTTTTGGTCATTTATTCCCTCCTCAGGAATCCAATTACCATTTCACACTCAAAACTCGTCCACCTCCAACACCCGGGCTGCAACTTAGAGCTTGTCCATCTCAGACACCTGCAGCAAACTAATTTTGAAGGGATGCTTACATATACAACAAAGGATATAATTGGACCTCCCACCTCAAAGAATCAGATGAAGCAGACTAAGGGGAAAAAAACAAAATGAAACATGATATAGTGTTTTCTACCCTCCATCTCTACATACTGAGCCAAGCACAACACCTGCATCTATTTCCTCAGTGAAAATTTGGGAGATTTTCCTTGTCTTTGATCCCTTGACTATTTGCATATCCTCTCTTGCCAGCCCATTTTTCCTGAATTATGGTTTCTAATCAGTAAAATTATCCCATGAATTCTATTTGTTGAGGAGCATGAATCTGGAATCATGGTTTATTTCATATAGTACAACTACCATATTTACTTGCATACCACGTGCATTCCCCCAACCCCCCAAAATCAGTCCTCCAAAACTGAGGGTGCATATCTTAAGCAGGGAAACTGATTTTTTTCAGTGAAGTAGAAGCAGGGGACAGAGGCAAGCAGACAGTGACTCACAGTTGCAAAGATAGCAGCCAGTTTTCCCTAGGACTGTAAAGAGCAGGGGCAGAGTCCAGGGTTAACCCTCTTACAACCACAGTAACTATTGGCTGAACACTGCAGCATGTGCCTGAAACAGCAACTGAACTGGCTCAGGGCAAATATGAGCTGCTGCACCTAATTTATAGTATCTTGATGAGGGTTGCGGTATTGAAAAAAAAACCCACTTAATTACTTACCAGAACTTAAATATTTGCAGTAAAAATGTCTTGCTACTACCCTTACAAGAGATTAGCCCAGTGGGTGGGCCAACTGTTTGGGCCTGGGGCCACACAGGGAGTTCTGATGAATTGAGTTGTCACAGACCAGGTCAGCACACCTTCCCCAGCCCCTGCAACAACTCACCAAAACTCCCTGTGAGATGGGCCCATGGGCAGGTGAGGCCGAGATCATGGGGTGGGAGTGCAGGGTGGCCACTGCCTTGTGGGGAGGATGCGAGGGGCATGGGGAAGGAAGGAAGCAGGGGGCATGTGCACCTGGCATGGGCAGACAGACAGAGGGAAGGCAGCCAAGAGCTGGGAGATGGAGCTCCATGCACTGGGGCAGGAGCTGCCCAACTGAAGCTTCCTTTCAGCTCATGCAGCAGGACCAGGAGGAACAGCTGGTGCTGGAGGATGGGGGAGCTGAGCAGCACCCAGGAAGCTGCAGCTGCATCAGGAGCAGCCCTACTGGTAAGCTGTGTGCACTGGCTGGTGCCAGGCCAGTGGGCACATGCTAGAGTGTGGTGCAGGCTGACCTGGACAGGGCTTGGCCCAATACAGAGCACTGCGGGGGCAGCTGCCAACTGGATCCAGTCAATTGGTGGTCTCCCCAGACAGGCTGGATCCAATCAGCTGGCAGGCCAGATCTGGCCTGTGAGCTGTATTTTGCCCAGCCCAGGTCTAGGACCTAGCCTTGTTGCTGTCCTGCCACACCAGGAAGTTCCTGGTGTCTCTCACTGCCTCCAGGGATGCCTCCATATACACAACTTATTCTAGGTCACAAAAGTCATCCATGCCTGGGGTGGAGAATCTTTTTTCCTACATTCTACCTTCCAAGAACAAGGTGCATGTTTTATTTCAGAGAATGTAGTAGTGGAGAAAACAGTCACTGCCATGCTCTCATGCTCTTCCACAAAACTAGCACACAGTACTGAAAGATCTTTTTCTTCCAGTCTTTGAATGAAAATGAGAAAGGACTGTTTTTAAAAGTTTGACGTGCATCTTAGAGTAATTTAGAAGGTTCTCTTTTTCAAGAGATTTAGTAAGTAGGAATTAACTTCTAGCACTTTCAGCTTGGCATATTTGATTCTCCCACCCCCCTTCCCCAAACCAACCTAAAATAGTAAGTATACATTTCTGACTAGAACATAAAATACATTTTGGTAAGAGAAGTTATATACCCAAAATATTTGAAGTTTGTTTCAAGAAAAATAAAACTGCATGAGCAAGAAGTTTTGTTACTTAGTAAATAAGCCATGTCATTCACATGTTTCCAACATGTTAAAATATTAAAATAAGAAACCTAAAATAATTTACATTACTACCAAAATGAATGTAAACTGTGTTAGGGTAACCTCCTACATAACAAAACAATGTACCAAATCTAGCGTTATGGTTCTATTTAGTTTTTAAAAAATCTCCATGTCTTAAGGTTATTTCAGCTAATGAGAATACACCTTACCTTAGAAAATACCTGAAATACAAATGGTAAGACCGATTCTTAAAAATACCAAGTAGAAAGCCTCTATTTAAATCTCATTAAATTTTTAGTCAATCCTCTCTCAATCCACTCTTACGCAAGAGGGTTGCTGAAGAAGTTTGTTTGCTTGTTTACTTAGGTGCTTATTACACATTGAAAAAGTACCATTTTTGCTCAAATGTTCAAACAAAGTTCATTTTACACAGAAAATGAGCCTGGAAAGTTTGAACCATCAGAGGGAAATTATAAGCAACTAGAAACAGAGTTCAAATAGAAAGACAGTTATACAACCTAAGTGCAAATAATACAGAGAGGTAAATCTACAGCAATTCAATTCCAACACTAGTTAGAACAGGTTTAAAACTGAACAAAAACAGACATTGCACAATGTAAATTAGTGCTTTAGTGGAATATTAAAGTCTTTAATATTTGTGCCTGCAGGTCAGATCCGAGGCATGTTAGCAGGGGAGCATGAAAAAGCTTCTGCAGTCTATTAATTGGAAGCAAAACCTGTCCAAAAATTTACAGCCACCTTTCATTAGCAGTATCATGTGATTTATAGAATCTTAGAAAATTGGGTTAGAAGGGACTTCAGGAGGTTGTCCAGTCCCCTGCTCAAAGCAGGACCATCCTCATTCCAGCCAAGGCTTTGTCTAGTCAGGTCTTAAAACCTCCAAGCATGGAGAGTCCACAACCTCTTTGGATACCCTGGTTCCAGTGTTTTACTACCCTCCTAGTGAGAAAATACTTCCTGATATCCAACCTAAAACTTCCCTTGCTGCAACCTGAGACTGTTCCTCCTTGTTCTGTTATCTGCCACCACCAATGAGAACAGTTTAGCTCCATCCTCTTTGTAACCCCCCTTCAGGTAGTTGAAGACTGCTCTTAAATCCCCCCTCAGTCCTGTTCTGGAGACTAAATGAGCCCAGTTCTCTCGGCCTCTCCTCAGAAGTCACGTGCCCCTGAATCATTTCCAATGCCCTCTGCTGGACTCTCCAATTTGTACACATCCTTTCTGTAGTAGGGGGCCCAAAACTGAACACAGTACTCTAAAATGTGGTCTCAATAGTGCTGAATAGAGGGGAATAATCACTTCGCTTGTGTAAGGCAGCCCAGTATGCCTTTAGCCTTCTTGGTAACAAGGGCACACTGCTGGGTGATATTCAGCTCATTGTACACTGTAACCCCCAGGTCCTTTTCTGCACAGCTGCTGCCCAGCCAGTCAGCTCCCAGCCTGTACCACTGCATGGGATGGTTCTGTCTGAAGTGCAGGACTTTGCACTTGTCCTTGTTGAACCTCATGAGATTTCTTTTGGCCCAATCCTCCAATTTGTCAAGGTCTCTCTGAATCCTAGCCCTACCCTCCAGTGTATCTGCTACTCCCCACAGCTTAGTGTCATCTGCAAACTTGCTAATGGGGGTCTTCAAGAGGAGGCTGGACAGATATTTGGGCTGGGGCGATATGACCCCGGCACCCGTTCCTGCC